TTTTTTGCTAATTATTTTTTTCTCCTTTCTGGACTATCTGTCCAGAGCTGATTTTTTTTAAAGTTGGATTTTTAAAAATAAGCAACCAGAGGCAGCTCTGCGTGAGGGTGAAGCCACCTCCCAGTTTTCCCTCCCCCTCTACCCGCCCCCCCCATAGTTCCCTCTACGAGGTCCAGTGACAATTGGATGATGCAGTCTAGATAATCATCCGATTCCAGAATGGGTGGCTGCATTCCTTTTCTGAAGGCAGCAAGGACATTGTGCCCCAGAATCATGCCCCTTTTGCTATTGTTGTCTGCCTTCATTTATTTAGTGAGCGTCCTGGGAAGAGCCCCAGGACACAACCCAGATCACAAGATGAAGACGGTATCAATACACAGCCTCTCAGAGCTAGAGCGTCTGAAGCTGCAAGAGACTGCTTACCAAGAACTCTTGGCCAGGCATTTCCTCTCAGAATTAAAACCTAAACGAGGTGAGTTGTACCCCGGAGTGTGGCGTCCTCGCCTTTGGGCGAGTGGACCCCCCTGGCGGAACGGGATAGATTTGGGGTTCCGGGAGCGTAGGAGGGGATTGCACTTGGTCTAGGACCAGGTCCGCTGTCCAGGAGTCTGGGGAACCGAGAAAGTGGGAGTTGGAGGCTGTTCCTTGAATTGCAGAAAAGGTAAAGTATAGTAGAGTTGGGTGGAAACAAGGGGGATGGCCGTGAGGGGCTACAAAAAAGGCAGATGTCAGTGACAAGTGGCCAGAGGAACGGAGGACAAGTGAAGAGACCGACACACCGGGTGCAGTACGAGAACTGAGCAGTGCGAGACGGGCGCACATAGGGACACTCTTGAGAGAGGACTGGGACGGGCAGAGACAACGCAGTTGGAAGAGAGAGAGACGGTCGGAGAGACCCACACTCAGTCGGGCAGAGAGAGGGAGGGGTGCGGGGGTGGCGAGTGGCGGGTGGAAGGTGCATATCGAGAGCGCTGCCTACCTCGGCAAGCTGCGGGGGAGCTTGCGGGACGCAGCGCGGGACGGGTTGGAACGCACCAGGAGACCCCTAGGCAGCTGCGCAGGTCGGACCGCGGAGTCAGGGAGGTGGGAGAGGGTCGTCCCGGCAAGGGAGGAAAGTGTAAGGTGCGGGGGTTCGCTATGCATGTGCCACGGGAAAAGCCTCAACTCAGTGAAACGTAAGGCGAGGAGACCCCACAGGCAGCCGCTGCCGCGAGATTCGGAATGTGGGGACTGTCAGGTGTCGCCGCTACTCCCGCCTCAGCGCGGGGAGCCGACGGCAATCGGGTGCGAGCGCGCTCGCAATAACTTGGCGACCCTCACCCGCAGTGACGCGGCGGGTACAGCCCCTTCCCTCGCCCATTGCATTATCCGGGCACCTTAGAGACCCTGAATTTATGTTTTAAGTGTGTTCAGAGACTACTGATGCGTAGCAAGATGCGCCGTGCGCTCCCTGCGCCTTAGATTGTCTGGTTTGGTTAAAGTCTTGGCGTCTTGTAGGTATTAGATAGGATTGGTCCTGCGGGGAAACTGAGGCTGAGAGAAAGAAAAACACTTTCAGAGGGATGGACGGAGCTGGCTGTCTTCCAGCGCCTCCCCCCTCTGCAGATCAATGCGTTGCGATGTTTTAGTCACTTATAGTCCAGTTTGTGTGTGAATGTGCGCGTCTTTTCTTTTTTGTCTTTGCTTAGCTCTAACCACTGACAGTCCAGACACCTCGGAGAACTGTTTTCTGGTCTTAAGAGGACAAGACGAGGGTGAGGGTCTCCTGTATTTTCTTTGGGAAAGAAATAGAGGGCTGTACCCTTCCCCCACCAGAGTGTGCCCAGATCCTAGTGGAGACTGGGCGGTGCCCACTGGCCCTGAAGACACTCCCCCTCCCTCCCAGAAACCCCTCAGAGGGGGTGCTATCAGGAAATGGCGCAATAGCAATGGGGCGGTTCTCTCAGACCTGCCTGAGCCTTCCCAGTGAACGGACCACCCCTGACAGAACATCCTGAAGAAATCGCCCTCATTGCTTCAAAGTGGTGGCCTCCTGCAGGACTTCAGGCAGGGACCTTGAGCCCCGTCGGGGTAGTTGAATACTTTCCTCTAAACCCTACAGGGTCTTTTTGGCTTGTTTCCCAGGGAGTCGCGCAGCGGGTCTGGGGGGCTGCGGGAGGTGGGGGAGCAGGTTGACCGTGGGCGGTTGCCTGGGGAGGAGTGCTACACTGCCACCGCTGGAGCGGTGGTTGACGTTTCTCTCTCTCTCTCTCTCTCTCTCTCTCGCTCCTCAGCCGTGTCATCATTCAAGACATTTGGTATTCGCCTGGAAGAGGTGCTGGTGAACGAGTTTAACCGCCGCAAGTATCTTGAACTAAAAGCAGAAGAGATGCAGGTTGAAGAAGCTACCGGTCAGGCTGCCGGCCGTCGTCGGGGAAACATACTGCAAAGGCTGTTTGCTCGCATCCGGCGCTTTTTCAGTCGCCCTAGGAATGAGCCTACTCTGCCCCGGGAGTTCACCCGCCGTGGACGTCGAGTAAGTTAAACCTTTCAGTTTTTGGACGTGGGTCCTGCGGTGTGTGCCATGGTATTGGGCAGGAGGCTCAAGGGTTAGGTCCTCAAAGGGAGGAAGGTTGAGCAGAGCTTGGTGGAAGGATACGTTTGGCTTGCCACAGTCTCTCTGGTTTTGAATGTCATACAGTGTTGAGGAAGGTTCGACTCCCCCCTCCCCTCCCCTTAAAATGCTCTGATTTTTTCACAGGGTGCCATATCTGTGGATAGCTTGGCTGAGCTGGAGGACGGGGCCCTGCTGCTGCAGACCCTGCAACTGTCAAAGGTTTCATTTCCTATTGGTCAGAGGCTTTTGGGATCTAAGAAGAAGATGAGCCTCAATCCCATTGCGCAACAAATCCCCCAGGTTGTTGAAGCTTGCTGCAAGTTCATTGAAGAACATGGTAAGAGACACCACAAATGGGTTAAATCAAAGAAGAAGGAGATGCAATTATAGAGAAAGGATGGGTATTTTAGAGATGGAGAAAGTAAAAAGGTAGTGGTATGAAGAGCTTAGATAACATTACCCTGCCACCAGAGGAGGCTGGGGTGCAGTTCTTAAGGGAGAAAAGGGAAATGTCACAAGGAAGGGAGTCAGAGATGTTAAATACCTTCTGGATTTTTCTTTCAGGTTTAAGTGCTGTGGGGATTTTCACTATTGAACACTCTGCACAGAAAGTGCGTCAGGTAAACTGACTATGTTTACATGTTTATTCTTTGGGTAAGAAAAAGCAGATGGAAGTGCCCCCATCCATAGAACTCAAAGCTGTGTCATGACAGGTGGGGGGGAAGGTCTTTGTCCAGCACTGTCCCCACACACTACATTGCCATCTATCTCTAATGAAGATGGATCTAACTTACTGAAGGAATGACCAAGAGGTAACAGGAAATGATCAAGAGGAATGACCTGTAGTGGGCAGGGCTCATGCTCTGTATCTTCTCTCCCTTGCTCTAGCTCCGTGAAGAATTTGATCGAGGTGTGGATGTAGTGCTGGATGAAAGTCAGAATGTGCACGACGTGGCTGAGCTCCTTAAGGAGTTTTTCCGTGACATGAAGGATTCTCTGCTGCCAGATGATCTGTACATGTCTTTCCTCCTGACAGCAAGTGAGTCTTCTCTCTTCCTTATCGTGGCAAGGAAGGGAGATGTTGCAGGGATCTAGAGGGCCTAGTAACAGAGCTCAGGCTGCAGGATCCTCAAGACACTGAAGCAGAATGAACATCAGAAGATGAACAACACATCTCCAGAATATATACAAATATTGCATGTCAAAATAAAATATTTAAAAAACCTCTCCATGTTACTTTCTTGTGTCTTAAAATTCTCGTTTGAATTTGTTGCTTGGTAATTTATCTAGAGATTCTTGAAGGTATATCTGCCCTCACAGGGCAAGGAAGACGCCAGATTGTACAGAAATATGATTTTGGTGTGGGAGGGATGCATCTTAATTTCAGGGCTCCTGAATTCAAATGTATTAGAAGTAAGTGAAAGCAAATTGCAGGGGTCCTTCATAGCCATGAGCAATTCTGAAGCACAAAGTCACCCCCTGGTATCAGGCTATTGCCAAAGCTAGCCCCTGAGCTAGCTTCTGTTTTCCTTCCCATAGCTCTGAAGCCCCAGGATCAGCTTTCTGCCCTGCAGTTGCTGGTCTACCTGATGCCACCCTGCCACAGTGACACCCTGGAGCGTCTGCTGAAGGCCCTGCATAAAGTCACTGAGTACTGCGAGGACTCCATTGGCCCTGATGGACAGTTGGTAAAGAGATCTGGGGAAGAGTAGTGAGAACTGCAGGAGGGGAAGTGTGTGAAGGTGTAGGAGTAGGTGGGATGAGGAAAAGAGGGTGAGAGAAGCATAATAGGAGACATATCTACTTATACAACTTCCAGTACCTGCCCAAAGTCAGCCTTCCAGTTTCTTCAAAGCCAGACTTCTGGTTTCTTTTACCTAGGTTCCAGGCAACCGCATGACTTCCACCAACTTGGCCCTGGTATTTGGATCCACTCTCCTTAAGAAGGCAAAGTTTGGCAAGAGAGTGTCCAGGAAGACAAAACTGGGAATTGACCGCTATGTTGCTTCTGTCAATGTGGTCCGTGCCATGATCGATAACTGGGATGTCCTCTTCCAGGTAGGGGAGGCTTTGGATGCACTTATTGCACACACTTGTCATCTACTTACAAGACAAAGGAAGGTTGTATGGGGCACCCAAAGCAGGCAGTCACAAAAACTCCCCATTTGGAAATTCTTGCCATATTAGGTGTTCATCATTCCTAAAGGCTGGGCACTTCATAGTGGAAAATAACAAATGGAAAGGTGCTACGCAATAATAAAAGCTAACGTTGCTAATTTGACCCTCAGGTGCCTCCCCATATTCAGAGGCAGGTTGCTAAGCGTGTGTGGAAATCCAGTCCCGAGGCTCTTGATTTTATCCGACGCAGGAATCTGAGGAAGATGCAGTGAGTTTTTTTGTTTGTTTATGCTTGGCCTGAAGAACACTGTGCAGGGAGAGCCTACAAATTCAGATTCTCAAGCTTACTTACATTTTAAAAATTCCTTCCCACTTAGGAGTGCACGCATCAAGATGGAAGAGGATGCTCTCCTTTCTGATCCAGTGGAAACCTCTGCTGAGCCCCAAGCTGCTGTACTTGGTCAAAGCGGGGCCTTTGATGAAGGTCAGTTTCCTGTTGGGGGTTAGGCTCTTGCCAAAATTTGGGCCCTTGCTAACAGTTAGGCCCTTTATGAAAGTCAGGTCCTTCCTTTGGGTCAGATCCTTGTTAAATAAGAGTCCTAAGTAAGATGAGTCCTCTGAGAAAGATGTCACTTAATAAAGAACTAGTATTTAAATCTCTATGAAGTAGTAGTTTTGGGGAAGGGAGTTCAAGGTCTTGAGATTCCAAGTGACCTTGAGATTCAATGCCCACATCTAGAGGGTATCCAGATATTGATCTTCCTACCCTTGAAGATATTCTAGAAGTTGATGATGAAATTGCACAATTCATTGAGGTCTTAGATTTTGAAGAAATGCCTTATTTTGATATGGCCCCAGACCCTGAAGGAGCTCCAGATATGGAAGAAATGTTGAACCCTGATGAAAACCTGGATGACTTTGAAGAAGGACTAGATTTTGAAGACCACCAGAATGTTAACCTTGCAGAAGTTCCTTATCTTGATGTAGTCCCAAACAATGAGAACGTCTCCGATACAGATGAAATTCCAGGTGAGGAAGAAACCCTAGACATTGATTAAATCCCAGACAATGTAGGTATTTCAAATAATGATGATGCCTAAGATTCTGAAACAGCTTCTAATCTTGAGGAGATCCCAGCTGTTGATGAATCTATAAGTGAGGAAGTTCAAATGCTGAAGAGATCTTAGGCCATGAAGATTCTCCAGAAGTCAATGGCGTTTCAGACTCTGAAGACCTTGATTTTGATGTAATCCCAGCTTTTCATGTGATCGCAAACTCTGAAGATGTCTCCAGTTTTGATGAATTTAAAGATCAGGAAGAATCATCAGATGTGAGTTCAGTCCCAAACAAAGAATCCTCAGGTGACAAGGAAATTCCACAGCATGAAGAAACCTCTGATGTTGGTGAGAACAAAGAATCTGATGAAAGTTCCATGTTAGAAGACTCAGCTCTCAATGTGCTCTCAGAGCCTGAGGATGCCTGAGTTCACAGTGACATTCCAGATTCCCAGAAAGACCAAGTCTGTGCTTTTGAAAATGATGAAGTGAGCACGGTAGCCCCAGACACTGAAGACGTTCTCAGTATACATCCAGACCAAGACCTGGCTGTGAATCTTGAAGTTATGAATGTGGAACAAGTCCCAATGCCTAAAGATCCAAACTCTAAAGAAGTTCAGAATCCAAAGGCAATTCAGGTCATTAAAGAAGATGCAGATTACCTGTAGATACCACTCTCCTTGAAAACAAGTGTCAGCACAGCCAAGTCATAGGTTCCAGGTTTTCCCCAGATTCATTGAAGAGTGTTCCCTGTTTCCTTCCTTCTATTTAGTATTGTGAGCTTTAGGCCCCAGCTTTGTTGCTCATTTGCTTGGTAAAATTATGTTTGTTTTAGGTTGTTAGGTTGCCCTCTTCCCCATCTCCCCAGTGATGTTGCCTACTTGCTCTGAGTATCGCCTTAACATTGTTACTCTTTTCCAGGTTCCTCTGAAGAGCCTGATGTACCTTCCTTCACTGCCAGTTCCCAGGACAACGAGGAAGGAGTGGGTAACCTCCCCGTTCCGAAGCAAGATGGCCCGTTGCTCCGTGTGCCCCGGGAGAATGAGGCCAAATCTGGCACTGGCTATTTCCCCTAGATGTTTTCCTTCTATAAATTTCCAGACAGGGGGAAAAGGGCAGGGGTAGACTTGGAATGTCACAGGAAACATTTAACAGAAACTAAATGATACACATTTGAAGGTAAGAAGGAGTTCCCCCTGATGCTCGGGTCAGGATAGGAATTCCAAACACACTGCCAGCCCATTCACTGGGGATGCCTGGTCTCTTCAGCTGGTACAAAGAGCTATTTCTGTGTCATGTCTGGGCACCCTGGTGCTACCTTGCAATCTCTTTTACCCCTGATCTTGGCTTTCTTTCACTGCAGTCCTATCTTATTTAATTGATGTCGCTTTTGTGGTGAACACCTCTCCCGGAGAAGCTCACAAATCTCGAGGTGCTTTCCCTCCCCCAAAGTGGATTGCATGCTTTTCCTTACTTTCCTACCCTCCTCCTGAGAGTTTAATTGGAAAGGCCCTCAAGAGGCATGCTAGAACGTTAGGTCAGCCTACTGATAGCTGACAAACAATGCTAAACCATGTCACACCAACTCATAGCCCTGTCCCCGCAGGAGCTCTGCCGCCTCAGGATTTTTTCCAAATTGTTTAGACCAATAGCTCGTCAAACAGCCACTCCCCAAATTCTGTGAGGGTTTGCTCAGGTCATGCAAACACGAAAACCTTGACTATAAGTCTAACTAGCTTTCCTGAGGTTAATCAAAAGTTAGAAGAAAAAAAATTAGATTTTTAGTACCTGGATTTGTTTTAAACAGGGCTGGTGTTCACTCTAGTTGTTTGACAAAAAACCCACAAAAAAACAAGAACAAAAAAACTACTTAGGTAAGGACACAATAGTTCCAAGTAGCTACAGTCACCTGATTAAATACTCTTAACTTGTCGTCACTGTAGTTCCTCTATGCAGGACAGTACAAATTTGCAGGACATGCTCTAGTAACACGCAGATATGGGTTACGTATGACATCCAAATTTCAGCTGATTTATGGATAACAACTGCTAAGATCCATAGAATGAAGAATGTGTTGTATTGAGGGATAGAAATTGATCACAATGGGTAACAACCACAGAGCTCGAAGATTTGTGATAGTAAAAACTTCTCTGGCATTTAATCATTAATAAACATCTGTATTGTGGCAGCATCATATTCATGGCTCACTGTGTGTTTTTTTTCCTTTTGAAAATTTGAGGGTGAGTTGTGGATCTGACTGAAGATCTGAGGGGGAAAGGACATAGGGGAGAGGAACAAGGGGAGAAGGGTCCTGTTCAACAAAGATGAGGTGAAGGTATGAGCTAAAGGGAAGCACAAAGTGACATGAAACAAAGGGAAGGGGTGTTGGGGAATAAAGGTGAGGAGTAACATGGGGTAAAAGGAAAGGTGATGTGAAATAAAGGCGGTGGTATGCAACCAAAAAAGGGGAGACATGGGATGAAGAGGAGGGGCAGCAAGGAGCATGGAGGAGCAGAAAATAATGGGATAAAGGGAGAGGGTGATGTGGAATAAAGGGGATGGTTGGTATATCATGAGAAAATGAGACTGGTCGTGTGAAATACAGAAGGGATGACATGGGACAAAGAGAAGGGGTACCACGGAATGAAGTGGAGGGGATTATCCAGGACAAAGGAAGGAATGGTATGGAATGAAGAAGCAATGGCATAATAGATGAGAAGAGGGGGTGTGATGGAGGGTAAAAGTGTAGGGGCTGATATGGAATATGGGAGGTGGTGTAATGTAGAAGAAGGGGGACGAAAGGATGGGAGGTGAAGGATAAGAAAGAACCTGGGATAAAGGGGAGAGGTGAAATGTAGAAAGAGTAAGGAATGACCTGGAATAAAGGGGAGGAGATGAAACAAAGAATGAGGAGCTATAGCTGAATGAAGAGGATGAAAGAACTAATGTAAACAAATAGTTAAGAAGGGATGAAGAGAAAGTAGGAAGAAGGAAGGAAGCTTAGTAGGAGTGCCTGTAAGAGAGAATGGAGAAAAATAAGGGGACAACCACAAGACATTCTCAACTGAGAAATTCCCCAAGAAGAAGGAAAATATGAAATCTTAGAAACATCTAGAATATTGAAAACCAAGGATAAGATGAATAGTGTGATAGCATCTGAATAATGGGGCCTCCAAACTTTCTGGAAAGCCAGTGGCATCATGACGCACTTGAACCTTCCCATGTCTAGTACAGAGCCCCCCAAAGTGAAATGGTGTGTGTTATTTATTTCTACAGGAGATTTTCCTGCACAGAGCTTTATAGACAACAAACATGTACCACTTGGCTCCTCCTATAATGATAATTTCATAATAATTACAATGATAGCAACACATAACCAGTTATTCTAAAGTATCTAACACCATGTTAAAAGCTTTACATGCATCATTTAATTTAGTATTCACAACAATGAGGTAGATGCTACTGTCATCTTCATTTTATTCTTGAGGTAAATGAGCTACAGACAGGTTAAATAACCTGCCAAAAACCCAGTTGCTTAGTGGAAAAAATAGCCAGTCTTCAAAGCTGGATTGTTTAAATATTAAATGTTACTGGCCCATTCATCTTGAGATGCTGCCTCTGACACAACAATGTGCTGTGATGTCTGCAGTCATTTGCTTTAGATTGGGGTGTGCACTTTCAACAAGTTTCAGGTTTCTTTTCTATAGGTCATTGCTATCCAGATAGGACAAGGCATTAGACAAAAGCCAACATTATAGACAGAGCCTAGAAGTTCTGACTAGAAAATGCAGTGAATCAATTTCAACTTCTTGTTAAATGACTAGTCTTACTAGATCTTTCAGGGATAAAGGACTTACCTAAGACCAGAGATGAGTGATAAGATTGAGAGACTATCAGGACTTAGTGGAGTTGACAAGGTTAAAACATAACCCACAAAGAGTTTAGCTACACTCTTCACAACCAGATAACAAATAGGAAAGCAAATTGTTTCAAACATAAATTCCCTTCACTTTCTAGACTTCCCTAGAACTGTGTTTTCTCTTGATCATACATTCATCTCTGCTTGCTGACAACTAACCAAGGAACTGGGCCTGAGAGTCTACATAAACGTGGATATTATTCTTACTCTTTTCCCAAAGTCTAAGAACTTGACACTCTAAGTCCAGTCCTCCTCCTGGATGACTTCAACAGTACCCACATGGGAGATGCACCCTGTAAACCATGGCTCCACACTTCTCTGTATGTTTACTTCTTAATGCCTTCACCACTCCAGTAACTTGGTAACAGTGGACATAGCTTCACCTCTGAATGACTCAACTCTGATGTCCCACTGAGCCCCAAATTTCCTCACAATGGCTGAATCTGACATCATCTGCTCTTTAGCATCACTAAAGGATTCAAGGGTTCAAGGCCCCAAACCCTTCTTTGTTTTATCCCTCTATCTTTGTCCAGCCAGCATCTTTTGACATATTGAGTATTTACAGCATCTCTCCATCCTCATGTCCTCCAAATATCACACCTGTACTATTTAGCCTCAATTTTATGTCCATCCAAATATATAATCCTAAATCTCATAATAACTACCATGGAGGAAAGTGTTCCCAGACTAGTGTTCCTAGCAGTCAGAATTTCCAAATGCAGCTGGACCTTTAGGCCAATTAGCTATCCTTCACATGCCCCAAATAATCTCTTTTCTTTTATCATATGTATTCCAACATCCTTAACCACACCCCTAAATAAGAACCCCTTTCTGTCCACCCTTATCCTACTCCATACAACAGCATAGACTCTTGCTTCTTAAAGGCCATTTGGGCCAATTTAAACTCTTCAACCTACATCTACAGGGATTCTTCTGGTTTATTGGCTTTCGTTTCATAATGTATAACCTTCCTTCAGTTCTGATTCCATATTATACTTGTTCTATTATTGTCTTTTCCTCCTTCTAGCCTTTCTTCTTCATATGCCCCCCCAACATCTTGCTTATATTTTTTCAAGTCTCCCATGTGAATCCTTCCTTACCTCAGGTTATTCACATATTTGAGCATCTCGCATATTTAGAAACCATTATTTGATACTTTATTACACCGTAAAAATGGCATGCTCTCATTTTAGGTTTGGTAAAAGAAGAACTTATTCTGCATTTTTTTGTCCAATTTATTCTTCCATGCATACCAGTCAGGCTTCTCTGTTCCTACAATGGCAATAAAATCGTGTGGCAGAAAGGGTCAGTGAGATAGCTCAGTGGACTAAGTGCCTGCTTAGGCAAGCGCAGGGACTAGGGTTCAATCCCCAGCACCGTATGCCACGCAGGCCCAGCCCTCGAGCACACTGAGCCCACCACAGAGATCAGGTGTGGAGTGCACACCTGTAATCACAGGGTTGGGTAGGCTGAAAACAGGAAGATCAATGAGTCCAAGTTGCACAGTGAGATACTCTATCAAATACATAAAAAGTGAATAAATAAAGTGGCAGTGGTGATCACCAATAAGTTACTAATGTAGTCAATAAACTTCAGTGGTGGTAAATACTCACTTTGGTCTCAGTGAAACAATCTCCTGATGTTTTTATGTACTTTGTAATAAAAATTTTTTAAAAAAATTTGAACCACATCACGAACATAGATGCAAAAATCCTCAATAAAATCCCTAGCAAATAGAATACAGCAAATCATCAAGAAGATTATATACCAAGACCAGGTACGATTCATCCCAGGGATGCAAGGATGGTTCAATATATGCAAATCTATAAATGGAATACACTATATTAATAGAGCCAAATCTAAAAACCACATGATCATCTTCATTGATACAGAAAAGGCTTTTGACAAAGTCCAACACTCATTCACATTCAAAGTCCTAAAGAAAATTGAAATAGATGGCCTCTATTTCAACCTGATAAAAGCCATATATGACAAAACAATGGTTAATATAATTTTAAATGGGGGAAAAACTGAAATCTTTTACTCTCAGATCTGGTACAAGACAAGGATGTCCTCTATCACCTGTCCTATTCAATATAGTTCTGGAATGATTAGCTAGAGCCATTAGACAAGAGAGATAAGTAAAAGGAATAAGAATAGAAAAAAAAGAAGTTAAATTACCATTATTTGTTAATGACATGATACTTTACTTGGAAGACCAAAAAAACTCCACCAAGAAGCTACTAGAACTGATGCACAAATTCAATAGCACAGCAGGATACAAAGTCAATACCCAAAAGTCAACAGTATTTCTCTACACAGATAACAAACACACTGAGAGGGAAATTAGAGAAACAATACATTTTATAATAGCACCAAGGAAAATGAAATACCTTGGAATTAATCTAACTAAAGAAGTCAAAGATTTTTTTCAAGGAAAATTACAGTACTCTGAAAAAAAAAAAAGATCGTAGAGGATTTCAGAAAATGGAAAGATATTCCCTACTCCTGGATAGGAAGAACTAACATTGTGAACATGGCCATACTCCCAAAGTTGCTGTATTGATTTAATGCAATTCCTATCAAACTACCACCAACATACCTCCCAGACCTAGAGAAATGTTTTCCTAAAATTTATTTGGAACCAGAAAAGACCTAGAATAGCAAAGGCAATCCTGGGCAACAAAGACAAGGCAGGAGGCATGACTTGAAATTATAGTACAAAGCTGCTGTGATAAAGTCAGCATAGTACTGGCAACAAAATGGACCTGAGGATCAATGGAATAGATTAGAAGATGTTCCTCTATGAACACACTCGGCCATCTGATCTTCGACAAAGGGGCCAAACATGCTTACTGGAAGAAAGATGGCCTCTTTAGCAAATGGTGCTGGAGAAATTGGCTCTCTACATTC